CAAACAAAAGAAAAACAAACCTTGGTGGGGTTGCCTCCCCACAAGCGCTTCTTTACCGTCTTTTAGCTGGACGCCAGTATGGATGCTCAGGGAAGTGTAGGATCAGGTGCCTTCAAGAGCGGATCCACATCGCTCTTGAGGTACAGCTTCAAATGGTGGCCATGCACGCGACGAATGTGGCCACCTGCATTTGCCAGCTCGACTTGGCCATCCGGTAGGATGCAAGCGAGTGAATACTCGGATGGCCAAGGTGGGGGCAGGACCAGCTCATAGTGGTCTCCGGCTTTCTTTCGAGCAGGCTTAGCTGCCTGCAGTTTCGGCCGCCACTCCTCCTTGATCTGTTCTTTGGATGACGGAGTGGTCCGGAGTGGCGGCGAAGGTGTGGGAGGCGGGTCCTGCAAAATAGGCAGCACAGAAGGATACACGACAGACTCGTGCTCCTGGTGAGATACAGCATGCAGAGGTAACGAAGCAGGTTTAGTGTCAGCAACAGAAAACGTTATACACTCCTCACCATCCCTCAAAACTAAGGTCCCATCATGCACATCGATGAGAGCCTTGGCGGTGGCCAGGAAAGGCCTTCCCAGTATAAGAGGCACTTCTGTGTCCTCACTGATGTCCAGGATAACAAAATCCACAGGATATGTGAATTTGCCAACCTTAACCAGAAGGTCTTCCACTATACCCCTAGGATGCACTACAGATCTGTCAGCTAATTGAAGGGTCATCCTAGTAGCACGGGGTTCACCTAGGCCTAGTTTCATGAACAATTTATATGGAATAACATTGATACTAGCACCTAAATCCGCCAAGGACTTCTCTACATGCAATTTATCAATAGAGCACGGGATAGTAAAACTACCTGGGTCCTTTTTCTTCTGCGGAAGCTTGTTCTGCAGAATAGCCGAGCACTCCTCGCTGAGCTCCACAGTGGCCAGCTCACTCAGCTTCTGCTTCTTTAAGAGAAGCTCTTTCAGAAACTTCGCATACTTCGGCATTTGCGATAGTGCCTCCAGGAAGGGCACTTGGACATTCAGCTTCCGAAGCATGGCCATGAAGTTCTCGAACTCTGCCTCCAGCCTGTCTTTGTGCAACCGAGTAGGGAAAGGGAGTTTAGGGACATACTCCTTCACTACTGGTTGCGGTTTAGGTGCAGGCACCTCAACCTCCTTCTCTACTTCTTGTTTAACCGCTGGAGATGCTGCAACAGGGCTTTCTCTCTCCGGTTCCCGAGCAGGGGGATCAACAGTCAGCTTGCCACTCCTGGTCATGATGGCATTGCAGCGCTCATCCGGGGTCTGCGGATGAGGGATGGTCTGCCCGGGTAGAGTACCAGGAGCCCTTTGAGCCACTGCCTGGGCCACGCTCCCCAGCTGGGTCTGGATATCCTGCAAAACAGCCTGTGTGTTCCTCTGCCCAGCTTCAAGAGCCAGGAGTTTACCCGAGGCCTTCTCCATGAACTGCTCAAAGGTGTTGAATTTCTGAGCACTAGTACTGGCGAGAGAACCCACCAAGTCCCGCAGTTCAGCCATCTGATCATTCTGTACTGGGGCAGCAGGGGCTGCACCTGGCTGCTGAAAAGGCCGCGGCTGTGATTGAGTAGCATGCCCCTGCATGGGCTGATAGAGAGACTGTTGTTGCTGCTGGAATTGCCCCTGTCTGGGCTGATATGGTGGCCGCTGGAAGCCTGGTGGTCCCTGGGGAACTGGTGGTTTGGGATTTGGCCCAGCCCAGGAGAAGTTAGGATGCTGGCGCCACCCCTCATTGTACGTGTTGCTGTAGGGGTCATTGCGCCTGACATTGTTGATGAAGTTCACCTGCTCCTGGGGTGTGGTTGATTCCTTCATCGCCTGGCAGTCCTCCACCGTATGATGGGTGCTTTCGCACCATTGGCAGAGCATCGCCTGCTGCTGTCCGGTCCCTGGAATCATCCCGGAACGATCGATAGCTGAGACCAGCTTCGATACCACCTGCACCAAATCAGATGACTGGGTGCCCACAGCATGCACACCTCGGCTGGGTGCTCTCCTCGATCTCCTGGCAGTGCCCCAGTCATAACCGTTCTTCGCCATCTCCTCAAAGAGTTGATTCAGCTGTGGCGGGGTTTTGGTCAGCATGTTCCCGCCACAAACCGAATCGATCAGCTGCTTGTCATCCGGGAGGAGGGCGTGATAGAAGGTGCCCACCTTGAACGCATCATTGAAACCATGATTGGGACACCTGAGAAAGAGGCTGGTGTACCTCTCCCAAGCATCCCTAATGGTCTCATCCTCATCCTGAGAGAAATGTGTAATCTGCTTCTGGAGATCAGCTGTCTTGGATGGAGGATGGTAGCGGGTGAGGAACTTGTCCGCCAGGTTGGCGAACGTGGTGATGGAGCCCAGAGGTCGAGTGTCTAGCCACTCCTTGGCCTGCCCCTCCAGAGTGAATGGGAAGTACCTCAGCTGGATGGCATCTGCTGGTACCCCATTGATCTTGATTCCATCGATGAGCTCGTGGAATCGCCTGAGATGTGATCGAGGGCACTCTCCCTCCTTACCACGGAACACTACTGAACCGCGCAGCATGGTGATCACGGAGGTGCTCACCTCAAAGTTGTTGGCTGGGACCTGAGGGTGTTGAATGGGTGACCTCATGTCCGCAGCCCTAGCGGTCCAGTAGGATCCCATGGTCTGCTCCCCGGGGATCACATCGTTGTTCTGCGGATCACCCATCTCTCCTTCTTCTGCTTCTTCTCCCGACTGCAGCTGTGTTAGCGCCTCCTCCGCAGCCAGTCGCGCCTTTAGAGCCCGCTTGAAGTTCCTGCAAGTTCGTTCAAGCTCCTGGTCTAATGGTAGTAAAACTCCCGGCTGGCTACGGGTCATGCACTACCTGCACACAATCAGCAGAAGCAACCCGTGAAGGCACACAGGTGGAAGAGATAAAATGCAGTAAATAAAAGCTAGAGTAACAAATTCTCACGTTTCCCCAATAATCTAGAGGGTTCCCCGGCAACGGCGCCAAAAACTTGACACGCTAAAACACAACACCTAACAATGGCCAAGTGTAACCAATGAAAGGGACTGCAGTATAGGCAAGTTTAATTATCAACCCGGGGTCTAGATCTACTGCTTACTCCGTGATTCTCTATTATCTAGCAAACTAAGTCGAGTGATTGTTGTGAAAAGTAAAAGCAACAAGAAAGCAGTAAATTGTTCGGGTTTCTAAAGCAGGCAAGAGTCACTCGGGATTGAGTCCCCCTAGCCCCTTTAGTTAGGTTCAATTGCAATTCCCTGGGTTGATTTACTGTTGATTAGACTGCGGAAGATCCGACAGTAGCTTGGAATCTCTTAAGCTGACCAAGCCCTCTCAGTCTAACTACCCGGCAGACGACTAGTCTTCACTGGGATAGAAAGCTGAGGCTATGAACACAGAACTCCACTACTGGCGCCAAGAACACCAGTACAAAGCAGTAAACTGGCTAACTCTCGTATAGCCAATCTCCTACTATCGAATGAAGAGGCTCTAACAACCTAATCAGATTCTATCTATCTCAGGTTGCAGCAGAAATTGAGAAAAGCTGATCAGACTCAAATCAATTCATGAAACATGCGTCATTCGATTAAAATCAAACAGTAATATCATCCCAAGTCATTACAATCAAATCCCTAACACAAGGAACTAGGGTTCTTCATACCCAAGTGAGAGAAGGGTTCTACTCCATAGAGAGAGAAGAGAAAACAAGAATCGGATTAGTCATACTCATAACGATGAGGATAATCTGCTCCGGGACGATGATTTTCACTCCTATGACGATCTCCAAGCTCGATTCGATGAAATCCCGCTCTAAGACAGCTTCTAGGATGTGTTCTTCGCACTTTCTCTCTCTAGGGCTCTGTTTTTGCTCTGAAAACACGATTCTCCCACTTCTGGCTCGGATTAGGCTTTAAAACCGGGTTTCCCCGAGTTGCACGGCCAGGGTGCACGGCCGTGCACATCACCATTCTGGCCGTGCACCTCAAAACGCGGCGTACCATTAAGTCGAACCTCAGCCAACTCGCACGGCCAGGATTATATATTGCACGGCCGTGCGGATTTCACTTGTGCCCGTGCGTGGCCACGCACAATCCCGTGCGTGCCCACGCACAATCCCGCACGGCCAAACTGGTCACTTGCACGGCCGTGCGTGCCCACGCACAATCCCGCACGGCCAAACTGGTCACTTGCACGGCCGTGCGGGTTGTGGGTGTGCCCGTGCGACTTCCTCAGAACCTCGCCATGCGTCCGATCCTCGTCCAATCGACCTCAAACTCGCTCCCAAGCCTCCATTCACGTACTAGGACCTGAAATATCATAAACAAGCACAACCTAGCGTGAAATCGGCCTAAAACACGAGAATCAACACCTCAAACGGAGTAAGAGCAGGGGTAAAAACATGTGTAACTAACGGTCTATCAATATGACTCCTCAAACTCCAGGAATTATCAATATAGTGCGCTGTTACAGCCATGTAACCTTTCTTTTGGTTACTTGCAGTCCACATGTCTGTTGTAATGGCAATCCTTCCTTTGTTCTCATCAATAACCTTCTGAATTTTTTTCTCTCACTCTCATAAACACAAAATATCTCCTTTTTCATAGTGTTCCTAATAGGAACATTAAACATGGGTTGAAGAGAGCACACAAACCTCTTGAAATATAGATGATCAACCATGGAAAGGGGATATTCATGCATTATGATAGCTACTGCAAGTTCTTTCTTAGAAGCACTAGCATCAAAAGCAGAGGCAAGCAAGTCCTTTCTCCCTTTGGCCAAATAGTTCGGCCCTAAAATCTTTTGACTGCCTTCATGAATCTTCCTAGGGAGACAACTTGAGGTATGGTTTTTCAAATGAGATGTGCCATTACTAGAATCCCCTCCTAATAGTTTTCCACAGTAGTTACACTTAGCCTTCCACAGATTATTCACCTTAATCTTTTTGAAATGTTTCCAAACCAGACTCTTAAGTTTGGCTGTGTCAATTACCTCCTCATCAATGATAAGTGGGGCATTCGGAGGTTGGGGAGCAACTTCTCCATTCTGAGGTTGAGCAGCAGCAACTGCTGCCTCTCCATCACCATTCCCATTATCGGCAGCAAGTGCAACTGGAACTGGTGGTTGCCCTTGGGGGGCCTTGAACTGGAGGTGGCACATCAGACATGGCTCCCAATTGATCACTTGTAGAATCACTACACAAGCTGACAAAAGAGACAAAAACCATCCATTAAGATAACCTCCTACAGGTTGAGTATATGATTACAATAGAAACAGAACGAAAAAAAAACTAAACTACAGTGAAATTTTGAAATGAAGAAGCCCACTTGGCTACCTCGAGTTCTCACTTCTCGGTGCTTTCCCTTCCCCACTGCACAAAATACACACAAACCATCCATTATGAATTATGATAACTCCTACAACTCAAGTATGTATATACAGAAGTAACAGAACCAAAGAAAACAATAGTGTAAAATAAAAATCAAGAAACCCACCTGTCCACTTGTCCACCTTGAGTCCTTGTTTTCTCTTTGCCACTGCACACAGGACATACAAAGCATTCATTATGAGAGTTCCTACATGCGTACATGGCTGCAGCTCGAGCATATAATTACAGTCAAGTCTCACAGAACCAAAGAAAATTTGAAATCAACAAAACCCACCTCTAGTGCTCGTCTGCTCAATGCTTTCACTTTGCCGCTGCTGGTTGCTGCTGATTGCAATCTGCCAATCTGCTGATTTAGGGTTTCTTCTGTAAATGGGAATGAGAGCAGAGATAGAGAACTGAAGATCGGAGGGGCAAGGGAGGCGATGAGTGAGATGATCTGCAGAGGCCATTCCGTATTTATACATGCTGGGATTGAAGGCATGCATCATGATTAGGGAAAGATTTAGCCATTTAGGGTAGATAATGCAGACCCCATGAATTGGAAATTGAAAAATTCTCGGGGGAATATCAGAATACGAACTGATTTTGGGGAGCAGATCATGTGAGTAACTTATGGGTCAGTAACCCATCAGTAACTCCTTCTCTGATCTCCACGTGTCAGACCCCTTTTTTTATTTAAATTAAATGCGGAAGGGCGGGAAGGTAAAATTGCACTTACTCCTATTTATTGCTGACGCTGACTTTTGACCGGACCACATCAGCGCCTCCTTCTCTCTCCTCGAAAAATCTTTAATTTTTCTTCTCTTAATCTTTAACGGACGATTTCTCACTCATTTTAAGTCGGAATTTAATTTTTTTTTTTTGCACAGTTAGATCAGATTAATTGTGCTCTTCAAAATGATATCCACTTTGATATTTTTTGGACATAAAATTTTTTTCCAGTTATTACCAGTCTATACCATATGGTATTTATTGGTATTAAATAAGACCATACCACATGGTATGGTAATATCAATATATATTTCGTTACCACCCAATACCATATGGTATAGTGTGGTAATATCAATATATATTTCGTTACCACCCAATACCATATGGTATAGTGTGGTAATATCACACAAAACCATACGGTATAGAGTGGTAATATCAATATATATTTCATTACCACGCAATACCATACATTACCATAGGGTATAGTGTGGTAATATTAATATATATTTCGTTACCACCCAATACCATATGGTATAGTGTGGTAATATCAATATATATTTCGTTACCACCCAATACCATATGGTATAGTGTGGTAATATCAATATATATTCATTATCACACAATACCTTATGGTATAGTGTGGTAATATCACACAATACCATATGGTATAGAATGGTAATATCAATATATATTTCGTTACCACGCAATACCATACATTACCATAGGGTATAGTGTGGTAATATCAATATATATTTCGTTACCACCCAATACCATATGGTATAGAGTCATAATATCAATATATATTATCTAAAAGGGAAAAAAAACAAAAGGAGGGAGAGAAAAAATCGTCTTCTGATGCCTCTCATTTCCTCTTCCTCAATCAAGAACACCAAAATGCCAAAAAAATGAGAAAGATCGGAATTGCGGCCAACGAGTTGATGAAGAGAAGAAATGCAACGAAAGAGAGTGGCTACAATTTTTAATCGTCCATTGCTAGAAAAAAAAAATGAAGAAGGAAGAGAGCAGATCTAGATTTGAAAAGGAGATTGTGAGAGAAAAAGTAAGAGAGAAGGAATAGAGAAAGAGAAAGGATCTGGGAAGAGATTGAAAAAAGGAAGAGAGAAGGAAGAAAGTTGAGTTGTAGAGAAAAGACAATTCTCTCTCTTTCATTGAAAAGCCAGCCATTGAAATGCGGAATAAATACAAAAAAATTAAAAATACAAAAACAGACAAAAATGCCCCTCCCCACCCCGCATCCGGCCCAGCCACACGATTGCTCCATCCCCAGATCTACGGCTCCCGTGTGGTTACTGATAGGTCAGTAACTAGTGGTTACTGACCCTATCTTGGACCCTGATTTTGGGGATTAAGCCAATCGTGGGAGAGATCTTTGCTTCTCTAAGCCGCCGGATGATCACGCAAAGATGAAATTGGAAGGAAGAATCGAAGAGAATCAAGGTCCTTTGGACAATTAAGGAGTTTCACACAGTTCTTGACTTAATTGGATCGACGATGAAGGATCTGGCTGTACTAGGACAAGAGATTTGGGAGGTCGGGGTGGGTACGGATCGGCCATCAGGGCGGATAGCAAGGAATCCGTCGCCGCTCCATCACCGTAAGCTGCTATATTCGGGTTTCCCCATCCCCGACCCGTCACCCGGTCAATGCGGGTTTTGCCCGATTTGACCGGCTCGATTTCGGGCGGGTACCCTAAATCCCGGTTAGGTTTCCCATCCCTAGGTGTTAGTGATGAACAAAACAAACAATGCAACCCCGTTTTAGTAAAAATCAGTTGACTCTGGGTTCCCTCCTTGGCTCCAGGGAAGATTTGAGTTAACAAAGAATAGAGGTCCTATCCGGTTGAAAATCATATCTAGATTTAATATAGGGCTAAACTGAACGGGAGAGGTAATTAAGGATTAGAATGTGTCCCAAAAGTACATAGAAATTATTCGGTCTGGTCAGGTTCATAGCCTCGTGTCCTGGGATGCAGGGCTCACGCAGCGGCGTACATTTTTATTAGACTTAATTTTGCTATAGCTAAAGGAATGGAGACCCAAATTGTATCTTGGCTGCCTACTAATTTTTTTAGATCTTTGTTTGTTTTGTTTTCCACTATAATAATAATAATAATAGAAGAAGAAAAGACCTAAGAAAAATATTAATAACCTTTCAAAAATGGGTGGAGTCAAGTAATTTTAGATAGTATTCAAGAAAGTGTTGTGTAAGACGGGCCAGACCTTGAGTTAGCGCACTTAATCACGGGAAGCTAAAATAATAGTCATTAACCAAAATCATCCTCTCAACCTCGCATTCCGAACTCATTAAAAACACATGCTAAAGAATATAATATTTGCAAACCGAAGAAGGAAGAAGTAGTAATGGTGGAGCGAATTAGATAACCTTTGAGAACGATAAAAAAAGAAAAGTCTTCAATTGGAACTTGATAATGTGATTGGATTTGTTCTAGTTACTCTTTGGGATGGAGGAGCTTCTCGAACGAGGAAATGATCCAAGCAAATTTATTTCATAACTATTTGAGCAGGAATTCACGAAGAACCAATAATAATGTTAGTTTTAGTAGTATTGATTGAAAATAGAAATGGGACGTGGCTAAGCGGTAGAGCGCAACTAAAGGACGAAGAAATTGCTCTAAATAGGATCGTCTCTTACTCTCACCCACTGATGGCAAAAATATCCGTAACCGTGGATATCCGCCCGAATCCGGCCTAGTCGGGTAGGGTAAAACCCGAACCCGAAGGACATTTAGCGGGTACGGGTAAAATCCGAACCCGAATATTGCGGGTAATGGGTGGGCATGGATTTCTCACTATCTGACTCGAACCCGCCCGATTATACATATGCATATGTATTTTGTCTAGAAATAATCATTATTTTTCTCTAACATATTTTATATTTAGCATATAAATATAACATTTTCATGAAATTGTGTTGTTTTAGTTAATTTTCTTCATTCTAGTGAATTCTTGTCGTATTTTTTCTCTTACTTAATATAAGAATATGTGTGAATGTTAACATATTGGTTGGAGTTATGAAGAAAAATTAATATCCATGGATAATCGTGGATACTCGAAACCCGAACGGGTATGGACATGGTTTTGATTTTCTACCCGTTTCACATGTGGGTATGGGTATGGGTAAAACCCGAAGTACTTTGGGTAGGGTAACGGATCCGACCCGACCCATTGTCATCCCTACTAGTGGCTAGCAGCTCTTGGGAGCGGAAGATGCAAAAGGGAGGTCTCTATTTCTCTCTAACCTAGCAACATATCTAGAAGGAGAAGAGAGATATCACGAGGGCTTATTCAGCCTCAGAAGTATGACATGGCTATTGTATTTTGCATTTTACTCTTTCTAACTAATCAATCTTTTTGAAGAATATTGCTAAAACCTGCAATTGATCTCCTCGAATATGGACATGTTGTCCAGTCAGAATCACTATATCTAGTAAGTTGTATAGTTGAGTCACCTGGATAAAACAAACCTTGCCTTGGAGAATTATTTTAGATACTTGAACACCCTTTGTAGAACTTAGTTGTGCATTGTCGTTGGAGAGTCTCAGAACTAGCCACAACTGTTGTACTGCAAATGCAATGTCAAGTCTGGTGTTGTTCAAGTATTGCAAAAGTATAATTTTACTCTTTCATACAATACTTTTGTTAATAAACATAGATCCCATTATATATTATGCTAATCTTCTAAGCCAATGAAATATTGTAATTCACTCAAGTCCTTCATGTTAATACATGACATGAGCTTTGTCTTAACAGATTTCACGGTCTCAAGGCTAGCACTTCCAAGTTCCAACCACAATATCACCAACCTAAACAATCTGAACCAGTAGGTGATCCTGAACATCAGACAATAAAATTGAATAGTCTGCATATGACTGCTTAAATCCATTACCAACCACATACTGTATTAACTTGACAGACCACATTCTACTTTCAACCCATAAAGGGATTTATTAAGTTTGCATAATTTCCCTTGAACTCATACTGATCCTTTAATCACGGTGGAAACTCCATATAGACTTCCTTATATAAATCTCCATTCATAAAGGCATTATTTACATCCATTTGGTGTAAAGGGCACTTATGAATTGAAGCAACAACAAGCAATATTTTCGCATTAAGGTATCTTTGCAAGAGGAGAATAAGTGTCATGGTAATTAATTCCATAAACTTGAGGGCACCCTTTTGGAGCCACTCTTGCCCTTAATCTCTCAACTGTTTTATCTAGGTTGTATTTAATTTAGAAACCCTATTTATAACCAATCGTCTTTATCCCTATGGCAAGTTAGTAATCTCTCAAGTATCATTGTTATGAAGAGCTTGAAACTCTCATTCATTGCATATTTTGCCACCATGGATCCTTAGTTGCTTCAGCATAACTAACAAGTTCTGGATTGGAAAATAAAGTCATGGCATAATGTTGTTGTGGAACAGTAAAATGGAAGAAATCTGGATACATACTTGGGAGAGAAATTGACTTGATTCATGCTAACATAAAATTCATCATATTTCCTAAGAAGTTAGTTTGTCTTATGAATTTCCTAAGAGAAATTATGGGTGGTGAATTGGAAGATGGAACATAGGAGGATGGAGGAGAGGGCGAAGTCTCATACTCACTTTCTGGAGTATAAAAAGACTAATGTGTAACTGGAAAAATGTCAACACATTAAAACACTGCATTTGCTAGTGCAACGAAAGGAAAATAATCTAAAGAATATGAGAATCATCAAATGAGAAGAACACATAGGATCAGTTGGTGGTGACACATCAATTGGAGAAGGAATTTGAACACTTTCAGGAGCTCTGAAAGGAAAAATGTCTTAATGAAAGATGACATCTCGACTAATAAAGACACATTTAGTGTATATATCAAGTAGTTTGAACCCTTTAATTCCATTTTGGGATTTCTAGGAATAGATATTTTCTAGCTCTATAGGTAAATTTAGTTTTGTGACCTTCATCAATGGTGGTATAAGCCAAACAATCAAATATCATTAGACTCGTGTAATCTGGTGGAACTTGATAGAGGACCTCGAATATTTTTTTTTTGTTTAAAATGAGTGTAACCATTAACTATAAAGATTCTAAAAATTTCATGAGAAAACCCCAAACAACTTTGTTGTGATCATCAACTACTACAAGAAAGTAAGAATAACCATCTTTTGGAATTGTATTCAAGGGACTCTAGATATCCACATGAATCAATGCAAAGTGATTAAAATTTATAAGAGGTATGTGTTGGAAAAGGTAGTCTTCTTTGTTTAGACAATTGATAAGGTAGAACAATGTCATTACAAATAGACTTAGAAACTCTCATTTTAAACAAGGAAGGATGTCCTAATCTAGCATACCTTGGGTGTGAAACGGTTTGGTCTGATCCGGATCGGACCAAACTCATGAGAATCGCGGTCCATTAGTGAAAGATATCTTAGGATCAAGGACCGGACCATCATTGCGTTTGGTCCATTTAGCCCGATACAGTTCGGTCCATTATTTCTTCAGTAATTGTAAAATTCATGTGAACCAAGTACTGGACCGTATTATACTTGGTTCAGTACGGTCCGATCCGAACTTCGATTTGGTCTGGTGCAGTTCGATCCCGGACCGGACCATTGTACACCCCTAGGTATACCAGATAGCAAATTCTTGACTCTGAGAATAGGAAACTCTTGCTGCAAAAACTATAAGAAAATTCTTTAGAATCAAACTCCTAGGACTTGGAATCTGAAAAAGAGTTAGAGACCTTTTATCCTTGGGCGAAGCCAATATTCCTACGAGTATCAGGTCTTGAATGGTACAAAAATCTTATTAGAAAACTAATGAGGTTTGGTTGTTTTTGGTTAACTTACATAGCCAAATTATAAGTAAATGTTGCAACAAAGACTACTTGAGTGAGAAATGATCCACAAGACAATCTTACTATCCTACAAGAGTGGCTTTAACTTGGTGGCCATTAGGCAAAAAAAATATTAGCTTCTTAAAAAGATTTGCATTTAATGGAAAAGGAATTTATAGATGATATAATATATAGCACCTGTGTCCAGCACTCATACTGATCCATTAAAAGATTTAAGTAAGCAATGAGAAGTTTGTTTACCTGAAGATCTGGAACAAAAGTGTGGTGGTTGTGATGTACCTCTCACAATTGCATTAACATGAGGCACATAAGGTGAACTGGGCGATGAAGGTGAAGGAGAAGGGAACTTCGGTGAGATTTCTTTCAATTTGTCAAATTGGTCTAGGGTAAGCATATTAGTCAATGAGGAATCTGATTCTGCTCCTCCGGAACTAGTAGACCTCCATTATCATTTCCAAATACATAAAAAAATACCAGCAATGGATTGTCATCAGATCCTTCATTTGGTTTCTTATTCTTTAGCTTATAACAATAATTTATAGTGTGATATCATTTCTTACAATATAGCAGTGTTATTAAAGCCAAACCGGACCGGTAAAACTGCCACCCGACTGCCAGTCCGGTTCGGGATACTCTAAAGATCGTTGCGGTTGGAAAGGGCGGTTGGCGAGCGGCCAAAATGGTTAAACAATCGGGACGCTCGAACTGGCCTACAGGTTTTTTATTCTAACCGTCTGGAATTAAGAAAAAAATCGGAAAAAATTCCTGGGTTCAAGTGAGTGGATTTCCCGAGCTTCTCCGATCAGCAACCCATCGACGACTCACCGCTGCCACCGAACCCCATGAACATGAAGTAAAGCTCCGACCAGCAACCCATCCTTAAATTCTCTCTCACCACATGCTTACCAAACCCTCAT